AGGACGAGTAGTTTCAGGATTTATTTGTGTGGTTGCACGGTTATAATAATGGTGGAGTTTGATCAGGAAAAAAATATATAATTAATATTGGCAAAGAGAAACTGGGCCAAAAGGCCATGTATATATTACGAAATGGTGGGAGTAGTGTAGTAACAAGGATGCTTTGGTTGAATGCACATGTATCAAACCCAATTCATATGCGTGGAAGTGGATTGGAGTGGAATTTAAATTAATTTTCACTCCAATCCACCTCTACACGTGTAGATTAATGTGGATAGATGTGTATCTAAACAAGACCTAAGGTGAATTACTCCAATGATTTATACTACACGCTTGGATAAGAACAATGTTCGTACAGCATGATTATCGTCAAGTTTCTTACTACAGTTAGATGCGCAAGAGTTGTACGAAGAAAATACGCTGAAATCAGGAGGGAGTGCAAAACAACAAACCCAATTCACACCACAAGTGGCTTGGGCGATGGCGTGCTTGCTGCCACGGTAAGAAGTGTGGCGTACTAGCAGCGTCTTTTTACTTACCGCCACCAACCGTCAGGAGCAATCCGGTAGGCGTCTATAAATAGGTACCCTCACCCCACCACCGCCGAGCTCCTTGCACTGAATCCCACCACATTCACCAGCACCACGGACCACTACCATCTCAATCTCCCCCTTCACGCTCACGCACCCCACCCACCTCCCCTCTCGCCCAAATTGCAACCAGGGTGCCCGAGGTCCCTCCCGGGGCCGCCCCCTCCCCACCCCCCAAATCCAACGGATCGGATCGGATCGGCGGCGCGCGCGCGCGAGGATGGGCATCTCGAGCATGCCGGCACCCAAGGACAGCCTGCTGGGGTTCGTGCTGTACAACGCGGCGGCGTCCGTCGCGATCGTGGCGGGGCTGGTGCGCGCCGCGCTGCTCTTCCTGGGCGTGGCGGCGCCGTCGTCGTCCCCGTGGGAAGCGGAGGAGGAGCGGCATCAAGCCGCGGTGAGGGTCACGGCCGTGGGGCCCACCCTCGCGGACAGGTTCCGGCCGTCGCGGTTCGGGCGGCGCCGCGGCGGCGGCGCGGGCTCGGGAGGGACGGACTGCCGCGTGTGCCTGGTGCGGTTCGAGCCGGAGTCGGTGGTGAACCGGCTACCCTGCGGCCACCTCTTCCACCGCGCCTGCCTCGAGACCTGGCTCGACTACGACCACGCCACCTGCCCGCTCTGCCGCCACCGCCTCCTCCCCGCCGCAGACGAGGAGACCGTCGCGGCGCCCCGCCTCGTCCGGTTCTAGAAACAGACGGACGGATCTCCAGTCCAGCCAACGGGGGCGCCAGATCGGCGCGCCCCTGCCGCTGTGCGCGCGCCCCTGCCTAGGAATTGAGAGGCTCTCCTGATTAGCTCTCAATTAGGAGTAGTAGTACCTTTCCTTTTCGTCGTCTTTTTTTTTTGGTTCCTCTGTTTTTCTTTTTCCTTCTCGTCTTGGTTACTCGTGTTCGGTGCTGTACTGTAAATACCGGTGGAGTGCTCTGATGATGTAGGCGTAGGAGCACTCTGCACCTCGCAGCAGTGTCTGTATTGTACAGGCTTTTTCTTTAGAAAAAAAATGCAAAGAGATGAGAAGAGATTAAAAAAAATGGTCGCAGCAAAGCTGATCCCCCCTTTTGCTTTTTCGAAGCTCTTTATTTAAATGCCTTTTTGTTGTCTTTATAGATATAAACTAGTAGGATTTATTGTATGTAATCAAGTTGTTGGGGGAAAGGAAAGGAAGGGTAATGAAACGGAGGAATGTTCTAGCGACGAGACGAGGCGAGGCGAGGCGACGGTTGATATTTTGGGCAGAGGGAGACGCGGCGTTTCCCTCTGTTCTCTTCTTTATATAGATAGAGGGCAGCTTTTTTATTACTCCAACGGTCAAAAAATGCAATTCATAAATAGTATCATATTTTACTATACCAATTATAGATAAAAAAATATAAATATTTAAAAAAATGTATTTTTATAATAAATTAATTTAGACTTATAAATGTGAATATTATTTATTGAAAATTTAGTTAAATATGAAGTACTTTAACTGACATGTATACCGTAGTTGTATTTTTTTTTTAGAGACGGAGGTAGCACGCATCTGCGTGGCAGAGACGAAGGGTGGCGGTTGGGCGTTGGCCAGCAGCAGCCAAGCCGCCGCTGAAAGCCACCCGAGTTACTACCTCCGTTTGTGTTTATCATGGATAAGGTTCCCGAGAAGGTTGGGCCGTTTGTAAAAATGTTTCTTATTAAAATCTAAATGGAATTCTATCATGACAACGTATGTGCTCACTTGAAAATGGTTTATTTTCCACAAAGTTCGCCAAATGAGAATCATGGATCCCAACATACTTTATTACCTCTAGCTACTAAATTCTTGATCATTCTTTTTTTTCTTCAAAAAATTATCTTAGAGTACTTTTCAATATATATAACACTAATGCGAGTATGTTTAATAAAGAATCATATATGTGAAAACTAATATTGTGAGAAACTTTATGTAATCTGAATAAAAAATTGTTTTTAGCGTAATCTGGTAAAAGAGCGCGAGTAGTTCAAATGAACAAATCAAACTTGTTTGGTATGTGCTCTTGCAAATTTTATGAGAGTCCTATGGCATCCCAAATCATTCAAGTGCTTATAAAAAACAAAATGAGATACCACCAATTTATTTTATAAAAGGTGGGATATGAGGTGTAAAAGGTGAGTTTACATAGTTGTTTTGTTTTATATAGCGGACTGTTTTTACATGTGCAATATTTCTGATTGGTTGTTTTATTTCTTTCTGATGAGGAAGGTAACCTCTTCTGATGATCTATCTGATCGAGAGATGGATGGAGAGCACGTCGCCCGGCGCCCGCCGCAGCTAGCCTCACCGGTCGGTTTCTTGGATCGGAGGCCAGCGAAGCAAATCAATGGCAGCATTGGCAGGCACCGCACCAGCGACGTCTCCGGGCATGGGCGTGACGCCGTGACCCGCGCACCAGTCCAGCTTCGCTCGGATTGGACAACAAGGCTGGCGCCGCTGGTCTGGTCCCTTTCATGCTCAGCAGCAGGGATTCTGGCGGTTCGGTGTCAGTGTCACGTCTCCTTCCGCCGGCCGGATAACAGTGCAGTGCCCCTCTTCTTCCTGGTCGGCGTTCAACTGAACCGCCGCCATGAATGAACAGATTTAGGCCTGCTCCCTGCCTGTAACAATAACTAATAAGGCTATAAACTCCACAGCTTTGTTCCTTCACTTATTCTCGGACGTGGACTTTGTGCAATTCCAACATGTGTTGTGACCAAAGAATCATTCAATTCAAAGCCTATCTGAGGCAATTCATTCCACTACAACACAGAACAACTTGCAAGCAGAACATACAGCTACATCATTGTCTATTGAGCTATCCTATAACCTTGTTCCGTAATAAATATCCCAAGTAACGTTCATGGCTATGCTGGAACGAACCAATGTGTGGTACACCAGTTAGTATCCAAACGCGGCAGACATCAGCTTTGATGCTTGATCGATCAGGTACAACAAAACTGATGGAGGATGGGCACACTGAGCTCGCAAAAAATTCGACAACAGCAACAACAACAGCAAAATCTTTAAACAAGTTAGGATAATTAATTTAGAGTTGAAACCCATTGAAAATTTAGTTAAACATGAATCTTTAACTGACATTATACGGTAGTTGTATTTTTTTAGAGACGGATAGCACGCATTTATTTTCCGTTGGGCGTTGGCCAGCAGCAGCCAAGGCTAAGTCTTTTATATGAGTATATCCCATCCTTTCAAGTCTTCTTTTTTCTTGCATGTACCCAAGTCAACTTTGGCAGGCACCGGTCTCCGGGCATGGGCGTGACTCTCCTTCTCTTGGACACGTTACCTTATCGCCGCTGGTCTGGTCCCTTTCATCCTCAGCAGCAGATTCTGGCGGTTCGGTGTCTGTCACGTCTCCTCCGCCGGCCGGATAACAGTGCGTGTCTTTGGAGATCTCCATTTGACATGTCCAAACCATCTCAACCGATGTTGGACAAGCTTTTCTTCAATTGGTGCTACCCCTAATCTATCACATATATTATCGTTCCGAGCTCGATCCCTTCTTGCATAACCGTAAATCCAACGCAACATATGTATTTCCGCTAGATAAAAAATACTTATCTTGTTAAACATGTCGTCTTTTCAGAGGCCAACATTACGCACAAATGCAAACAACATAGCAAATCTAATCGTAACCTCAATCTAAATCAGGCCTATATAAACTTTGTCTTTTAGCTTCAGTGGTACCCTTTTTTATCACATAGGACACCAGGATGCTTGACGCCACTTCATCCATTCTCACCTGGACTTTGATTCTATGGCTAACATCTTCATCAATATCCCCAACTCTCATACAGCTACATTGATCCTAAATATCGAAATATATCATTCCTAGACACTACTTGACCTTCCAAACTAATATCTTTCTCCTCTAGAGTAGTAGTGCCGAAGTCACATCTCATATACTCCCTCAGTCCCACAAATAAAAATACATCTAGCTCTTGGGCCCAGCAGCAATCAAGATTAAGGAAGTTGGCAAATTACGGGGATGCCCTTTCATAAAGGCATCACAACTCACTTCAGTGTTTCTTCAGACAACACAATTTAAAATGTCCAAACCATCTCAAGGTGGCAAAAGCTTTTCTTCAAAGCGTCGATAATAAATTGAATTATTTAGTGGAACCAACATAACATACGATTTCGCCACTTAAAACAGCACAAAATGTTCTAGTAACCCAAAAACTCTTTTAGCTTCTCATGGCGCCATTGTGCCCATATTACAAAATTTGAATTAGCGCCATTGTGCCCACATTACAAAATTTGAATAGTAGTGCAAGTCACATTGCACCACTATAAAAGCCTCTCCACATTCTTGGAGATTAAGAACCCAACGAAAGGCTCAACATGCTCCAAATACCCCCCCAAACTCCAACAACCTGCAATCCAATCTATAGTTAGATATGGCCATAGATCTCAACATAGTACCAGATGAAGGAGATGGAGAGTTGGCCATAGATCTCAACATAGTACCAGATGAAGGAGATGGAGAGTTGGCCATAGATCTCAACACAGTGCCAGAAGGAGACGGAGAGTTGGCCATAGATCTAAACATAGTTCTTGTTGAAGAAGATGAAGAAGACTTACCTGACCTAAATGCAGAACCTGCACATGTGGAAGGCGTTGAAACCCATCATCCTCAGGATCAAGATCAAGTCCATCTCCTCCAAGAGGATGAAGTACATCGACACCATGAAGATCAGGTCCACTATCTGCAGGAAGATGAACAGGTTGGTGTGCATGGCATTGATCTCAACATCGCTGCTTGTGAGGGACAACCACCACATGAAGGTAATGTCTCTTAATTGCATCATTACAACTAGCAAATGGTGAAATGTGTAAACAAAAGTTCGAAACATGACTTACACACTATGCCACACCTTTTCTGCAGTCCTTGCTGTTGAAAAAGACCAACAACACCATGGAGATATCAGCTTTCATGGTGCATATGAACAAGATGAATTTGACCTCAACTCACAAATTTTTGATCAGCAACAAGAGATGGAACAAATGATCGGTATGAACTAGATCAGCAGACCATTTTCCCTATATATAGTGTTCATTTCAATCATTGAGTACAGTAAGCACTAGTACACATGACTGCATATAGTGTCAAAGCATGTTCCAACCATGTAAATAAAACTATGTATAAGTTGATTTAACACCCGTGTTTTTTTCTCAAATAGTCAGCACAACTTTTTCATACAGCTACAACACTTCCAAGACAAGCCTTTTAGCTTTTAGAAACATTTTCAACAACTATTATTATGAAAATTTAGCATTTACGTATAGCTTAGCAGCACTGGTATAAGAACTCACCTAGTAATTGTTCTTATAGACATGATCGAGGACATGCATGAGTATGGTGTGTACACTGATGCCGTGGACATAACCTTCGATGTTGACGAGTTGGAGGACTCAGATGTTGATGAAGATGAACATGCAAATGAAAATAATACACATCATCACACAAATTTGACAGATCTTCAAAGACAGCAAATATATGAAGCACTACTTGAGAGAAGCAACCGTGGAAGATTACAAAAGAACAGTACAAATATAGTTGCTCAGATGTTCCAGGTCAGTATCAATCAAGTGCGGAGTGTTTGGCGGAGAGTAAAGCAGTGCCGTGCACAAGGAAGACCAGTAGATGTTAGATCAAGAAGAAAGAATTATCCCCGCAAAAAGAAACAAATAGACCTATCAGATGTTCTTAGCATCCCCTTGCATAGGAGGAGAACGATACGATCACTAGCTACTGCTCTTGGAGTAAAGAAGAGCACTCTACATAGGTGGTTCAAGCAAGGGCTGCTACGATGCCATTCCAGCACATTAAAGCCTCTACTGTCGGACGAAAACAAGAAAGAGAGGTTGTGATGGTGTATGTCCATGTTAGATCAGCGGACATTGCCAAATGAACCCATGTTCAGTGAAATGAAAAACATTATTCACATGGACGAGAAGTGGTTCAACACCACATCGAAGTACACAACGTATTATATGCTTCCAGATGAGAACGACCCACATAGGACTGTGCGCAATAAGAATGCCATTGACAAAGTAATGTTCTTATCAGCGGTAGGAAGGCCTATATATGATGATGAAGATAATTGTATTTTTGATGGGAAGCTAGGAGTGTGGCCATTTGTTAGAAAGGTACGTCATGCAGTAGTATGATTTTCTTACTCCAAATTCTGCTAATTAATATTAGTGATTCCTTATTGAGTTTTCAATTGCTGTAGGAAAAAGCAAAAAGAAGGAGCCACAATAGAGGGAGGGGGCCGAAGTCACCAAGCCTATTAAGGTAGAACGAACAACTATGAGGTCGTACCTGATTGGTAAAGCTGTAAAAGCTATTGTTCGACGGTGGCCAAGAGAACTTGTAGGACAAACTATCTATATTTAACAAGATAATGCCCCTTCACATGTGCCAGTAAATGATAAAGAATTTACAGCTGCTGTAGCACAGACAGGGCTTGACATACAACTCGTCAACCAACCTGCCAATTCCCCGGATTTGAACGTACTAGACCTAGGATTCTTTGCTTCTCTTCAATCCTTAACCTATGACAGGATCTCTAGGAACTTGGATGACCTGATTCAGAATGTGGACAATGAGTTTCAGAACTATGATCCAGCTAATTTGAATAGGGTGTTTCTAACACTACAAGCGTGTATGATTGAGGTGATGAAAGATGGTGGAGGAAACCGATACAAAATTCCTCACATGGACAAAGATAGGCTAGATGCACTGGACATGCTACCTAAAAGGCTTCCTTGTGACCGTCACCTATATGAGGTTGTGATGGCATCATTAGGGAACTAATTATGTTGCTACTGCCGTAATTTTGGAAGCCTTATAATGTAGGGTTCGTCCTGTTAACTATGTGTGCTAATGCTGTAAATTAGTCGTGTCTGCTTGTTAATGTGACTCATGTGTGCTAGTACCGTAAATTTGGAAACCTTATATAATATTATAATGTGACTCATGTCTGCTACTGCTCTAAATTTGGAGGCCTATATGAGGAGATGCAAGCTGCAGATCAGGAGTTCGACTTGCCATTATAAAAATTAGAGGGGATTTGGTTATCTAGATTGGTACAAACACCAATTTTATTAGCTACGATAATTAATTACTACAACTAGTATTTTGTACACAAAAGCAGCAGCTCATAACACATTCACATCTAAGGAACAGTTTGTCACTACACCTAATTATCTAAACCCTACATACAACAGTTCGTCATCCCACAGCCAAAGAACCCACATCAAAAGCATCCCAGTAAACATCAAAAGCACTCCATCACACATAAAACAGTAATAAATGTACTAATGATGGAACGAACGGAAGCATATAGGCACCGAAATCTTGTACATGCTCATGAAGACGTCATGGTAGATTGGATCCATGTTGGCAAGCACCTCCTTCAGTTGTTTAGGCACTTCGGTGGGCACCTTCATCCTCGAATCCTCGTCGACGGGCAGATCCTTGTGAGCAGCCTAATCCGCGGTCACATCAGGGGCCATCTCCACACCGGCAGCCCCGACTGCGGCCTCGTCATGGACCTGGGGGGTCAGGTCCATGGCGAGCTTCGTGCCCACAGAGACATGTAGGCCACACGCCTGATCCTCCATGCTGGATTCTTCATCTTCCAAGTCGGGGACGTACACGTTGCCGTGGCAGTCGATATGCAGGCCATCCTTCTTGAGTCGATGCCCGCGCACGTAGATCCAGCCCTCCCCGGCCGAATCGGCGCTGCTTGGCTTGTCGACCTTGGAGTCGGCGCTGCCAGCCTTGACTACTTGGCCGAGGCTCCCACCACTGTTACGCCCGCGAACCCCACGGCCACCGGCCTTGAGTACACTCTCGCCATGGGGCTCCATTACAGCGCCCCCCGTAGCGCGCATCTTGCCACCTCGAGGCATCTGGCGGCTACGACGACGGATCCCGCTCCCTCTCGCCATGCACACATAGGGGAACTGCTCTGGTTAGGAAGCAGAAGGATCGAACTCTGCTGCTGTACGGGATGTGAGCTGGGTGGGGAAGGGAAGAGGAACGAGTGGATGGTGCGGCGGAGATGATGCGTATGCGAACGAGTGGACGGCAAGACCGGTCACGGGCGCTTCTGGATGCAGGTGGCTACGTTGATTTTCCCCTTTTTTTATGAGTTCTTTTTTTTTATTTTCTTGGTCCCACACACAAACAGGGACAACAAGACGGGTCACGGGCGCTTCTGGGAGGCTCCGTCGATTTTTTTTTCTCGGACCCACATGAACTAACGATGTGCTGTCACATTGGTAACACAGTAGCCTATAGGGCCTATATTGACACATATTATGGGAAAATTTTTGAATCCTAAATGTATTTTTATTTGTAGGATGGAGGGAGTACTCAGTTTTAGTTCTATTAAGTCTAAAATTTTTGGACTCCAAAGTCTTCCACCATAACTCAAATTTTGAATTCACTCATGTCTAGCTTTCATCAACTAGCACTACATTGTCCGTGAAAAGCATACACCAAGGGATGTCCCCTTGTATGTCCCTTGTGACCTCATCCATCACTAAGACAAACAGATAATGGCTCAAAGCTGACCCTTGATGTAGTCCTATTCTAATCGGGAAGTCATCCGTGTCTCTATCAATTGTTCGAACACTAGTCACAATATTGTTGTACATATCCTTAATAAGCCCGACGTACTTCGTTGGGACTTTATGTTTGTCCAAAATCCACCACATAACATTCTTGGTATTTTATCATAAGTCATCTCCAAGTCAATAAAATCCTTCTTCTTCTTCTTCTCCCTATACCACTTCATAACTTGTCTTATTAAGAAAATGGCTTCTATGGTTGACCTTCCGGACATTAAACCAAATTGGTTCATAGAGATCCGCGTTATTGCTCTCAAGCGATGCTCGATAACTCTCTCCCATAGCTTTATAGTATGGCTCATCAACTTAATTCCTCGGTAATTAGTACAACTTTGAATATCCCCTTTATTTTTGTAGATCGGTACCAATATACTTCTCCTCTACTTGTCAGGCATCTTGTTCGATCAAAAATATGGTTGAACAGCTTGATTAGCCATACTACAGCTATATCCCCGAAGCATCTCCACACCTCGATTGGGATAGCGGCCCACTTTATTCTTCTTCTTCTTCCTCCAACACATGAATCACTGAATCAGAATCGGTTGTTGTTGCTGTCTGTCAATCTTCAGCCAAGCTTTCCATGTACAGTCAGGGAATGCTAATGTTCAGTCACTGATCGGTAGTGTTGTTACGCACAAGAACAGTGGGTGAGACGTCAAAGGCCATGCTGCTCCGCCTATCTGGCGCCGTGCGAGAGCTCCCTCGACGCCAAGTTGAACATCTTCAGGCGAGCGGACGAGCTGGAAAAGACGTTCTTCTCGATTCGCTTCTGGTGCCTGGTGCTCTTTGACCACTCGATTCCCAGGGTGACTTGGACATTGCTTGCTCTTTTGCTTTGGAGCGAGGTCCTCGATCTGGTACTTTATATGGAGCTGCAAAAAGCCACGAGAGAGGAGAGCAGGTCAGATGTGCCGTGTTTCTTTTCTTCTGCTGGTATGGAGAAAGTCGGCGCAGCAGGTTTAATCTTTCATATATGATTGGGAAGGACCTGCTGCTGTTTTTTGTCTCCACATAGCTACCCCTTGACCATTTTACAGCACAGGATTGCGGAATATCATGCCATTGACTAATTGACCAAATGACAAGCATTCTTTTTCGATAAAGGAAGCATTTAATATGTTTCAAGATCATTACATCGAGTAATTTATGCTCCGTTCGCTTGGCTGATAAGTCATGGCTGAAAGTACTTTTGATTTGTTGTGAGAGAAAAATATTGTTTGTTGGCTGTAAAAGTACGGCTTATAAGCCAAGCGAGCAGGACGTTTGAAGCTGAAAATACTCCATCTAACAGACTTCGACTTTTCGTTAAAAAAAATAGAGACTCTGACAAGCTGGTTTAAATGATGTTGCCCTTCTGTTACAATAACATGTCTAGTATAAAGAGCATAAGATAAAAATAAAAGTTGGCGCATGTTTCCCACATGGAGAAAAAAAAAGAGATGTTCTTGACTTGATCTCCTCTAGGTGGTTTTAAATTTAGATTGTACTACTCCCTAGTCCCTATTCAAGCTTTTGTTCTGTTTTGCAATGGCATGGTCAACTACACTTCCCAGGTGATATGTGGAAACAGACAATCTGGCATAATCCAATACACAAGAAAGGAGGAACTTTCCAAGCACAAGTGGAGCATGCAAATTCTACCCAGAATGCCAGAGAGAAAGAAGATTCAGGTATATGTATACAAACCGTAAAGAAGTCGCCAAGAAGGACTCCTTGGAGCTCCATCACCTCTTCAATAATCCATCCTTTCTTATTGGGCATAGGAGATTTCTGCTGGGTTCCTGTCACTTCGCCAACAACGGGAGACAGCTTCTTGCTAAACTTGTAATGATTTGTCGTTGATATTCATTGGGTTTATCTGATTCCCACTGTGCAGCCGAGTATTTCTGGCATCCAACTTTCTCCATTACCTTCATTTCCAAAGAACCTCCTGCAAACACCTCCATAAGCGAGGCCATCTGGCAAGAGATACATGAATGTCAGTTTCAACCTCTTATGATGGACCACAATATAGGTAGTAAATGAAACTTGAAGGAGTGCAGGACTGGAGGTGTATATTAAGATTTGCCATGGTCTGTACAAGTTAACTGAACTTACATTGTTCGAAATGGTTGAGGAGTAAACTTCAGTCATCTGAAGGCTCTTTGCATCCTCAATACCAACAAAAATCCCACTGTCCTCACTCTGAAGGGTGTTAATTTGGGACTGTTCTTCAGCAAGCTGTACTTTTAGCTCCGTGCTCAAAGATCTTGCCTTCCATAATGCCATTATTGTCCTGTAGAGCACAAACGATATTTATTCTGGCAAGAACCATATAAATCATACAAAAGATATTTCAAGAATCAAGGCACTGTTAGTTGGACACAAATTATTTCCAGAGTTTGATTCATAAGAGCCATATGACACATATTCCGCGTCTTTAAGAAAACTGGGCATTTACCTATTGGCCACACTAAATGATGCAAAAGACTGCAAGCAGAACTTAAGCTTTCCATTGTCCATGCTCTTTGCGCCATGCTTTGCATCCATGCCTCTGCCTTTGTGAAGAGTTATTATAATGGACGGACTCCATGATGATATTGACTGAGGTATTCCCTGTATGTCTTCAATATCCTCCCATAGAAAGTAAAATTTTGTTTTCCTCCCAAACATGCTTGAATAAAACCCAATTGTTCTTGGAGATAAGAAAAGATGACCCTGAAATTAAAAGTAGAAGAGTCTGTCAGTTGACTGGACAGGTAGTGAACTATTCATAATCATTGTGGAACATGAACACAGTAAGTTGATCCAATAAATCAAACAAAAGCAATAGCATATATACAAACATTTAAATCACATAGCATGGAAGGGACAATATGAGCATGTCTTTCCAAAAATAAAAATAAAGGCACAAGACACTGCTGGCTTACATCTTCAGTTGGTTTCTTTTTTGAAATCAGAACTGATGTGAATTCAAGAAAATGTTCCTGAAATTTTCTCCACTTTTCAATATAAAATTGTAAATCAGCTGTTATATCTTTCATTCATAGTTCAGAAAATGTGCGCACACAAACACTTTTGAAGTATTATCCCTCAGCATCTTCCATAGGGAAAAGGATCACAAAACATATATTTATATTTATATTTATCATGAAATCTGATAATTTGTGTAAGCAAAAATCAAACGATTACCTGTGTAGGCAATTTCCTCTTCAAGTAGCAGGTAAAACTGCTAATGAGAAATTCTTCTGCTGGCAAAGAGAAGAGTTCCTGAAATGCAGTATTGGTCCGAGGAGACCTCAACGTCATCTGGCAAAAGTTACGAAAATCAGATCTGGAAAGTCATCTTCTTCTCTATTAATATAAATTGGCACAACTAGTGCTGGTTCTTTCAAAAAAATCTGGAAAGTCATGCAGTAACAGTGTACTTCCAGCAGAAAGGCATGGGAGCTCTCACCTTCTTACCAACCTCTTTCTCCATTTTGCTCAAATACTCAGTGACCATGCCAGTCCCCTTTGAGTTGTTCAAGAAAATCCTCAGATGCAACTTGGACTGCCAAGACTGAGCAAGGTTACCTTTAAGAGGAATCCATACATCAGCTAACTCTGACAAGTTTGATTTTACAAAGTTAACTTCCGCATGTCCAAGGGATGTAACTTCATCAAATGGTCCATCAAAGTCATATACATGTACACTCATCACTGACGGTGGATCATCCATTGCGTCAAATTCAAAGATTTCTGCAAGATTTGGTGAAGTAGGTTTAGTTGCTTGTTGCATGACCTAACAAAACACGTAGTGTTTCTATGCTACTAAAATTTGGTGCAGATCAAATTTACAATTTTCTAGTGATGGTAGGAGATGACAGGGTATAAGAAGCCGGAAACAGTTCCAGAAGACGTATACCATTCCACTGAGGTTCTAGTGTTTGGAACTTGATTGAACTTGTTCTTGTTTTGCCATTGCAAGTTAATACCACATAAGGATCAGAGAAACCAGTAGCATCGACTGGAGCCAATTTGATTCCCTCTGTTAAAGCAACTGTTAACAACCATCCATCACCTTTTGCTTTCACACCATGATCACCACCTACATGAGGAAAAAATTGAACAAAGTAGACATATATCACATTCATGCATATAAAATCCAAAAGCATACGTCAGAAAATGCAAGTCATACTATTGTAGTCTTTTCTCCAAGAAGATCAAGCTATTGCGCTAGTTCCATAAGTTTTTTGAGAGAAAAGAAACTGTAACAACTGAAGTTTTGTGATTCCTCCTTCTTTGTTTTTTAATTTTGTTGTACCTGAACTTTGTTTTTAAAGTTTTAATAAATT